CCGTTGCCGAGAGTCGTTTAGCTTATCGCAAATTGGAGACGCACCCCCGGAGCACCCTTCGGCGACGGGGCGCGCTCTTCGTACTCTAGTTCCTTGGCGCTTCTCGCGCGGGGTTTGTTTTCGAGCTGCGTCGGGTGCGGATGCACCGTCCAGCGGCCCCGAGGACGGCGGGGGACAAGAGCCCCCTGCGGCCACTAGCATGCTCGGCCACGAGTTCGCGGGTCGTTCGCCGGGCGAGGTTTCGACAATGATCCTTCCGCGGGTTCACCTACGGAAACCTTGTTACGACTTCTCCTTCCTCTAAATGATAAGGTTCGGCGGACTTCTCGTGACGTCACCGGCGGCGAACCGCCCACGTCGCCACGATCCGAACACTTCACAGGACCATTCAATCGGTAGGAGCGACGGGCGGTGTGTACAAAGGGCGGGGACGTAGTCAACGCGAGCGATGACTCGCGCTTACTAGGAATTCCTCGTTGAAGACCAACAATTGCAATGATCTATCCCCATCACGATGAAATTTCAAAGATTACCGGGCCTATCGGCCGAGGCTATAGACTCGTTGAATACATCGGTGTAGCGCGCGTGCGGCCCGGAACATCTAAGGGCATCACGGACATGTTATTGCCTCAAACTTCCTTGGCACTGGAAGGCCATAGTCCCTCTAAGAAGGCGGCCGCGGAGGGTCACCTCCGCATAGCTAGTTAGCGAGGTCGAGGTCTCGTTCGTTAACGGAATTAACCGGACAAATCGCTCCACCAACTAAGAACGGCCATGCACCACCACCCATAGAATCAAGAAAGAGCTCTCGGTCATAGTCGACCCATGTGAGAGAAAGTAGAGAGAGATGCTCTCCTCCCCCGATGGAGATCTTTCCTCAAGTTACGGCGGCGTCGCCTGCGAGCCTCCCCACTTTGATTTTCTGTCTTTGTCTCGACCTTCCCTTCCACTCCACCATCCCTGTTCATCTTCTTCCTCCCTCTGTTTCTCTCTCCCCGTTGCCCTCCATTTCTTTCTCCAGTTTCCCTCTCCACCGTCTCGTCACTTGGGTCTTTCTCCCCTACGGCCATGGCCAAGAAGAAGAAGAAGTCGCCCCTAAGGTGAAGACCACTCCTCGCGGACAGAACCGGTCCTTGCTGCTGGTTGCTCCGGCCACCGGCTCCAAATGCTGCCTCGATTTCGGTTAGCACCCCACTGGCGGGTCTAAAGCGGCGGCCCTCTCGACCCTGCGGTCGCCGGCTGGCTGTGGAAGAGCTCTTCGGTGATGAAGCTTCAAGCTCGGATGAAGAAGGGCTGGATTCGATGAGGTAGACGGCGGCTACGAAAGTTCGAGTGAAAATTTGGTTTTCCCTCCCACCAAGTTGAGTGAAAATTTGGCTTCCAGCCAAAACACTTCTGCTGCTGAAAATTCAACTTTGGGTGGCAATTTAGATTCCCGCTAGATTTTTGCGGCTGCGAAAATTCAAGTTTGGGTGGCCATTTGGTTTCCCGCCGAAATTTCCAGCCCCCCGGTTCCGCCCGAGCTTTGGCTAGCTCTTGCGGGCACATTTACGGCTCATGCTCCGGCAAAGGGCTTGAGACGTACGAGCATGTTCTGTCGGGCTCCACCGAGGCCTCCGCACCATGACCGCCCCCACTCTCCTCCCCCAGTTGCGCCGAGGTAACTCTCAAGCCCCCTCTTCCAAATGGCGTGATCTTTTTGCTTCTAACCGTAATGCCGCTCTATGCCCAAGCTCACTCATTATAGTGCTATAACTCAAAGCAAAACTTGCTCTTTGCTTGCCGCTGATTCGCAATGCGAAATATGGAAGTCTTGCACGATTGGTTATGTTGTCGGCAAGTCTCGGGCTATAAGGCTCTTTCGGCATTATTGAGACTACATGGCAATGTCAAGCTTCGTTATCGATCCATGACTCCGGTGGCTTGTGTATAAGTTTGCCTCAGACGAGGCTAAGCTCTCGGTTCGAATGGGGGCCGTATCGATTTTCGGCCGGCCGTTATTGCTCAGACCTATGCCGAATTCTTTGACTTTTCGCTCACCGAAATGGCGCAAGTCTCGGTTTGGGTAAAGCTTTCGAATTTGCCTCTTAGCTGCTTGGTCCCCTTTATGCCTTTCGAAAGTGGCTAGCCTGCTTGGGCAAGCCTATCCGGTGTGACCGGCTAGCTGCCTCCATGGAACGGATCTCCTTTGCTAGGGTTTTGGTTGAAGTCAACATCATGGAGGAGCTTCGAAATTCTTAAGTATTGGGTTGCCGAATGGCTCCTCTCTTCGCCGGCAAGTGGTTTATGAAACGGTCCGACGCCGCTGCGAGCAGCTGCCGAATTCTAGGGCACTCTACGGCTTCTTGCCGGAAGGCGCTCGGGTGGCCGGCCGAGTCGGAGCGTCGGCCATGTCGAGAATGCGAGCCCTAGGCGACTCTCGGAGGCCTGCTATTGGGGGGGCTCGGCGGTGCCTACTAGCCTTGCGGGCGCTCCTTCGGAGGTCGTTCATTTTGACCCTATGGTTTCGGAGGCCGGGGCTGCGACGGGAGAGTGGACGTTAGTTTACGGGTCGGGCCAAAGCCGGCGCTCGCTCAAATCGGCGGCATCGTTCTCGCCGGCTTCGCCCTCTCGGTTGGGGCGGCAATCGGATGAGCGAGTTCGGGGGTCTCCTCTAGGTCCTTCGGCTCGGACGGATAAGGGTAAAGCACCTGCGGTCGCTCCTTCTCGGGTAGGGCGGCGGATGCAGTGGTTGGTGCGGGCGCGCGGCCGGTAGCCGTTGGGGTACGGGACGGGCGCGGCTCTCGGGGGGCGGCCTCCGGTGCGAGCATGGGCTCGGTGACTCGGAGCCGTCGGTAGTGGCCACGGGCGCTAAGGATGGGTCTGCGGTGGCTAGCGCTAGTGCGCAGCCTGTTCTTCGCTGGCGGCGGCGCGCGGCTGTTCTTGTTGGCGCTCGGGCCGGGCGCGGTGCGCGGGGGCGGCCCCGAGAAAGCTTGCTTCGCGCGACTCGACCGGCCGATTGTTGAGGTAGGCACCACTGATGGGGCTTTGTTGCATAAGGTCAATGCTGGCTTGCTAGACCTTCGGCAGGTCGAAGGGTCTCGGGCGCAAGCTCCGGCGCTAACGGAGCGCCGCAAGATAAAGAAGACGAAACGGAGTGCTAAGGGGGCACTGCCTCTGCGGCGGGCTGTATGATTGTCCTCGGTTGGAATGTTAGGGGCCTCGATTGTCCCCTAAAACAACATGAGGTTGCGGCCTCATGTGTTCGAAGAAGTTAGATGTTTGTGCTCTAGTCGAAACCAAGCTCGGCCTTACAAAGCTAGCTCGCTTTCATCGGTTTCGGCTTAAGCGGTGGAAGCTTGCCTCTAATGCCTGCGAATCCTCCAAAGCTCGCATTGCCCTCTTTTGGAATCCGGATACGGTTTCGGTCGAGCTCTTGGATTTTTCCCCTCAAGGGTTGCATGTCCATATTCGTAGCCTTGTTCATCGGTCACGAGTTTCACGCCACCTTTGTTTACGGTCTTCACACGATCTCCAATCGTCGTGAGCTTTGGACGAATCTTCGGGCACGGAATCCTACTAGTCGGTGGATTGTTCTCGGCGACTTCAACTCTATCCTTTCTCCGGAAGATAAGCATAACGGAGTGATGGGGTCCAATTATGAGTCTTTCGGATTTTCGCTCTTGTTGTTTGGATGCGGGTCTACGGGACCTAGCGTATACGGGCGGCCGGTTCACTTGGAACGGCGGCGGTGTTTGGACCAAGATTGACAGAGTTCTCGCCAACCCCCTGCGGCCGTTTCCTCTCTGCCTATTTCGAGTCCATTTCGGTCCACTCGGGGCTTTTTCGACCATGCTCAAGCTTGGGTTCGGATTGATAGTTCGCCTCCTCTCGGTCGGAAGCCGTTCAAATTTTTTAACATGTGGGCTCTACACGACAGTTTCCTCCCGATTGTTGCTAGCCACTTGGGCACGTGGTATTCATGGCACCCAGATGTTCTCTCTCTGCCGCAAGCTTAAGGCTCTAAAGCGGCCCTGCGTGAGCTCGATAAGCTTCACTTCGGTCATATTTCTGAGCGCGTTGCTCGTGCGCAAGATGATCTTGAGCGGCTTCGACAAGCCTTACGGTCAGACGAGAGATAATGTCCGCCTTGTTGAGCAAGACAAGCGACACGGCGGGCCACGATCAATCTCAAGTCGGCGGAGAAAATGTTTTACGGTCGAAGCTCAAATGCCGGTTCCTTGAAGAGAGTGATAGAGGCGGTCGGTTCTTCCACTCCCTCATGACCCAACATCACAAGAAGAACTTTATTGCGGCTATCACGGATGATGAGGGTCGGCTCACGACTTCGCTCTCCGCCGTCGGTGACACTTTTGTTGGCTATTTTCAGAGGCTTCTTGGTACTTGCTCGGGCTACCACTCCCACTAGATGTCGGGGTTGTTTCTAGTGGGCCTTGCCTTGATTCGAGCTCTCATGCGCTTCTCCTTGCGCCCGTTGCTGATGACTTAATCCATGAGACTCTGTTTGGTATCGGCAACGATAAAGCCTCGGGTACGGATGGTTTCTCGTCTCTCTTTTTCAAGACGGCACGGGACATAGTGGGGGTCGACTTTTGTGCTTGCCATCAAAGATTTTTTCTCCTGCGGTCAGTTGCTTAAACGGGTTAACCACTCGGTTATTGCGCTCATTCCGAAATCGGCTCATGCTTCCTCCCCTTCGGACTTTCGGCCAATTTCTTGCTTGCAATGTGGTTTACAAGGTCATCTCAAAAATTCTCTCTTCCGGGTTAGCGAGTGTTTTGGTCGACATCATCGGTCCCATGCAAAATGCTTTCTTAGGTGGACGGAAAATGTCGAGATAACATCCACCTTCTCCAAGAATTGCTCCGGCATTATGGTCGCAAGCGTGCCTCGCCTCGGTGCCTTCTGAAAGTGGACTTCAAGAAGGCTTTTGATTACGTGCAATGGTCCTTTCTCCGTAATCTTCTTTGGTCGCTTGGCTTCCGAGTACTTTTGTCCACTTAATCATGGCTTGTGTGGATTCTCCGTCCTACTCGGTTTCGGTGAATGGTTGCTTGTTTGGTTTTTTCGCGGTAAGAGCGGGATTCGGCAAGGCGACCCGCTCTCCCCTTACCTCTTTATAGTGTGCATGGAGTACTTCTCTCGCATGCTCCTGTCTCGCCTCGGATACTTGCTGGTTTTCGTTTTCACCCGCGATGTGAACTTCACCGAATCGGTCACATTGCGTTTGCCGATGATGTTATGCTTCTTTGTCGTGCTGACCGGCGTTTCGGTTCGGTGCTTGACGCAGCAGATTCAAGTGTTCGACGGGGTCTCGGGTCGACCATTAATTCGGCCAAGTCCTCGATTTACTTTGGAGGCATAGGAAGTTCTGCGAAGCGAGGCTCTCCTCCAAGATACGGGGTTTTACGAAGGCACATTCCCCTTTCGTTACCTTGGTGTCCCTCTCGGTCCTCACCGTCTCTTAGCTGGCCAATTCTCCCCTCTTTTGCGGAGCTTAGAGTCCGCGGTACAATCTTGGATGGGGAAACATTTGTCTTACGGCTGGCCGACTTGAGCTATTGCGCTCGGTGTTAGCGAGGGATTATTCACTTACGGCTAGCAATTTTTCCTATTCTAGCGGTGGTTCTCTCCCGCATAACTAGTATTTGTCACAACTTCCTGTGGACCGGGGACTACAAGAGGGGTCATTCAGCCTTGGTGGCTCGGTCTCGGATTTGCTCGGCCGAAAGCGGAAGGGGGCCTGGCGCTATGGCATCTGCCTACTCTCGACCGGTGCTACCTTGCGCGTCGAGTTGTGGGACATTCACCGCAAGACGGACTCTATTTGGATCCGTTGGGTTCATCACTATTATCTAAGAGATCGATCGGTCTTGCGAGTGTCAAGTGCGTCCATCTGCCTCTCCCACTTGGAAGGCGCTTGCTCTCCACACGCGATAAGGCTGCTTGGAAAATTCGAGGTTAGCTCTCGGGTGGAGGTGCGCTTCGCCACTTGGGGCCTCGCCAAATTCATTCGTAACGCCTACCAAGACCTTCGCCGGTAGGCCATCTAGTTAAGCTGGCATAGAGTTATGCGGGAGCGAGTGGGCCTTGCCACGACATGCTTTTGTTCTTTGGTTGGCCGTTCAAGGGAAGCTCAAAACTATAGATCGGCTACGATTTATTCCGGACGGATGTCCGTTGTGTCCTCTGTCGGTACGCTCCGAATCTCACTCTCACCTGTTTTTCGAGTGTTCCTGGACCGCTTGCCTGCGGGCGTTAGTCGAGCACTGGCTGCGGATTCGTCGACATATGACTTCGTTGCCTAGCGCCATTCGGGCACTCTCTATCCGTCGGAACAACTTGCAAGCCCGTATGCGTCGACTTTCATTAGGGGTCATTGTTTACATTATTTGGGAAGAGCGGAACAAGCGGTTGTTTTGATGAGTCTCACTCTCCAACCCCGATTGATCGGGCTTTTCGCAGATTTCAAATTACGTTCTACATGATTTTTCACTTTCATGAGAAGGATCACGATCTCCTCGATGTTGGTTGACCATTCCCTATTCTTTGCCTCGGCCTTGCTCTTTGGCTCTGCCTACGCGATCGGCTTGTCCGGTCTCGGCGCTCATCATCGCCTTTTGGTTTTATCGGCGAATGTTTTTGTATGCTGTAGAGCCTATGTAAATGGTTCCAGTTAGCTAGTGTAGGGCCTCTAGCTGGTTGTTCTTGGAATCTCTCTTGTTTGTTTCCTTGATCAACCTTCTAGCTCTAGTGCTTTTGCTTTGTGTTTTTGGGAGCATGTTCCCGCTTTTTGTACATTTGCATATTGTGTCTCTGGCTGGTTTTCCCGGCTTGTTTCTCTTTGATTAATATACTTACATTTTAATAAAAAAAAAAAAGAAAGAGCTCTCAGATAAGAAAGAGCTCTCGGTAGTAAGTCGGGAGAGAGAAGGAAGAGAGAGATGCTCTCCTCCTCCCCGATGGAGCTCCTTCCCTCCGGACCATACTTACTGCCATTTATCTTCGCTTTGATTTTCTTGCTTTGGTTCACACTTGTGTCTTTCCCCTTTTTCTCCACACTATTCTCTCTCCTTAATATTCTACCTCTTTCTTAATGGCTAAGAAGAAATGGAAATCGAGTCACTCACAATCCCAAGGTTCTTGCTGGGCGAGACTGCGAGTTCCCCATTCTTGCCACTAGCGGCTCCGACGACGCCTATCCCACTCCATCGGGAATCGGTCCCCACATATCTCCATTCCACTTCGCCACTAGATAACAAATGTGTCGACCACCGCCGACCCTACTTGTCCCTAGTCCCAAGCACCTACTTCTAGACACGATTCTATTGTGGTGGAAGACCGTTCGGATGGGGTAGACCTCGGTGAAGAGGAGGTGGACTATTCGGATTCCGAGGTTGAGCACGTGTCCCCATCCACTGCCTCCCGAAACCACTTCTCCTCCCTTACATTCGGTGGAAGCGGTCGACTCTTGCCAAATTGCTGCTGCAACACGGCTCCACTGCCACCCTCCATCTTGCCACGACCCCACCATCCTTATCGAGGTCGGATGGACCCTCGACCCGAAGCTCTCGACGCATCCACAATGGCGGCGAGCTAGGTCAATTCCTTCTCCGGCAGGCAAGTGGCGAGATTTATTTGTAAGTAACCATAACTCAAACCTCTACCCTAAACTATCACATTTTATAACTATTACTTGAATCAAAACAATGCACTTTGCAACCTACCGATACTCACTGTGAATTATGGAAAGTATGCCTTGTGGGATATATTCGTTGGAAAGTACCCAGGATTTAAAGCCCTCAATGGAATTATCAAGGATACCGGCATTGTGATGCTTCTCTAAGAGTACATGAGTCCGGTTGGCTCATTTATAAATTCCAAACAAAGGAGGATAAGCTTTCGATTCGAATCGAGGACCATATCCGATTTATGGGCGTGCTTTAATTTTGCATCCAATGTCGGAATACTTTGATTTCTCCACATCCGAGATGGCTATCGTCCCTGTTTGGATTAAACTCCCCAATCCGCCACTTAAATGTTGGTCCACTTGCATGTTTGTCTAAGATTGCTAGTCCGCTAGGTAAGCCTCTTCAATGTGACCAGTTTAGCTGCTTCCATGGATGAGACTTTCCTATACTCGGGTCCTTGTTGAACTCAATATTATGGAATCCCTCCCTCGGATGGTCGGCATCCTTTTGCCGAATAAGCACCACCCTCGTGTAGCCGGTGGTCTATGAGTCTCTTCCCATCCATTGCAAAAGCTATCGAACTCTTGGGCATTCCACAGTAGCATGCAAAACTCAGCCACCTCGGGATTCGAGTAAGGCTCCCATAAATGGCGAGTGCGGCTACTAATGGGCGGGCTAGAATTAGTGTTTTTCAACGTCCGGGTGACTTTGCCATGCCGAGCCTATCCATAGTCCACTCCCCTGCGCTGCCGGTCCCCTCATCTCTTGATCTCATGCTACAAGAAGGCTGCCGAGTTGGTGACGGTGAGGACCAAAACAAACCCATGTCGAGCCGGTGATAAAGGTAAACATGTTATGGTTGATTTTGCCATCTGTTCCGGCTGCCATAGGCCCGAGTGTCCCCTTCTCACACTAAGCCAATTGAGGTTCTATCCGGGTTGGTCGGTTGCGGCAACGAGGGATACAAGTGGGGCTGAGTAGCCACATTGTTGACCAAGGCGGACAACGGGGCCATCGTGCTGGAGACAGAACTCATCGAACTACTTATGCAAATGGCTCTACCGATAGACTTAATAGTGGCACGTCCGGGCCTCCCATCACGAAGTGCATTTCTAACAAGAAAGGCTGAATGCTTGGCAATTCCTACTTCCCCTAGGGACACCATTCCGGACCCTGCGATCGGACGAGAAGAACGGATGGTAACGACGACTTCACCTAGGCCGACAGCCGGCGGAGGAGTAGCGATGGGCGAGAAGCGGGGGTCGAAGAGGGTCAGCCTCTTCTGCTCATCCATGATTATCTATAGTTGGAATATTAGAGGGCTTAATAGTCCCCCGAAACAACATGAGGCGAGTGTGTCTCATGAAGAAAAATAAGGTCGATGTGTGTGCCTTTGTTGAAACTAAACTAAGTTCCGCTAGGCTTGTCAATATGCACCAACTTAGACTCGAAGCATTGGAACTTCATGTCCAATGCTATGGTAGCGGGAACCGCCCGCATTGCACTCTTACGGAATCCAAGAACCGTATCGGTTACTTTGTTGAATGTCTCTATCCAAGGTGTCAATGTTAGCGTAAGCGACCTTATGCGACAGTGACTTTCAATGTTACTTTGGTCTACGGGTTACACTCAGATGCTGCCGGAAGAGAGTTGTGGGCTGATCTTCGTCATTGGTAGCCGACACCGCCCTTGGCTCATTCGGGAGACTTTAATTCTATTTTATCACAAGTCGACAAGCATGGGGATACCGATGTCTCCCACTACGAAACTGCGACTTCGAAGTTATCGCTCCGATCTTGGCCTACTTGGACCTTAACTACACGGGGTGCCATTTTACTTGGCATGAGGTCGATGTATAGACAAAAATCGACGGAGTTCGGCCAACCCTTTATGGTCCTTCTCCAGTGCAGCCGTTCATGTTCATTTTGGCCCCCGGCGCTTTTCGGACCACTCTCCGATATTGGTACATTTGGGCCCCCGTGCTTCTTCCGGAACCCGTAGCTTCAAATTCTTTAATATGTGGGCCGTCCATGATGCTTTTCTACGAACTGTTGTCGACGAGTTGGGACGCTAGGTTCGGTGGTACCCTAATGTATATACTTTGTCGCAAATTGAAATCACTCAAAGAGCCTCTTAAGCAACCGAACGGACTCCATTTCGGCCACATCTCCCAAAGGGTAACTAGGGTCGAATCCGATTTGGCTACCATACGGTTCGAGCTTCACTCGGATAGAGATAACTTGGAGCTTAGTCGGACGGAAAAAGACTCGGCTCCATTTGGCTAACCTCAAAGCTTCGGAAAATATGTTCTTTGGTCGAAATTAAAGTGCAAATTTCTTAAGGATTGCGACAAAGGCACTAGTTTCTTTCATCGGCTCATGAACCACAAGCATAAAGCCAACTATATTGCTTGCTCTTCATCGTGGGTGATGGGCGACTCACTACCTCTATCGCGAAGTCGGAGAGGAGTTTGTCTCCTACTATCACAACCTCTTAGGTTCCACCAAAGCTACGGTGCCCCTTGACTCGCAGATTGTTGCTAGTGGGCCTTGACTACATACGGCCAGCCATGATCGGCTTCTCTCCTCGGTCTCGATGGACCTCATCAAGAAGACACTCTTCGGCATAGACAATGACAAGGCACCGAGCCACGATGGATATTCATCTTTCTTCTTTAAACGAGCTTAGGAGATTGTTGGATAAGATTTTTGTGCGACGGTTCAAGACTTTTTTGTATCTAGGCGACTCCTTAAACAAGTTGGCCACTCTGTTGTAACTTTGGTCCCAAAAACGACCAATGCTACCGTGCCAAATGACTTTAGGCCAATCTCGTGCTGTAATGTCGTCTCTAAGGTCATCACCAAGATCATCTCCTCCCGGCTATCCTTGGCACTAATGGATATAGTCGATCCTATGCGGAATGCCTACCTTGGGGGTTAGAAAATGTCGGACAATATTTGTTTGGTATAGGAGTTACTTCGCATGTATGGTCGGAAACGTGCTTCCTCGAGATGCCTAATGAAGATTGATTTCCGTAAGGCCTTTGACTCTGTGCGATGGGATTTCCTAAAATAGCTCTTATTAAAATTAGGTTTCTCGGACAGATTTGTTGGTTGGATTATGACATGTGTTGAATCAGCCTCCTACTCCATCTCGGTCAACGAGGGCTTGTTAGGTTTCTTCTCGGGTAAGGCTAGGGTTAGGCAAGGTGACCCCCTCTCTCCCTACCTATTTCCGGTATGCATGGAATACCTCTCTTGCCTACCGAAGATTGCTACTCGGAATTTTGATTTTCGCTTCCATCCTCGGTGCGGGGTCCATGCCATCACCCACCTAGCATTCGCGGATGACGTCTTGTTACCTAGCCGTGCCGATGTCGCCTCCATCAAGATTCGACCAGCCGGTTGCTTATCTTTGAGAGTGTTTCGGCCTAGCCATCAATGTGCCCAAGTCCTCCATCTTTTTTGGTGGGGTCGAAGCGATTTAAAAGAATCCATCCTTCGAGAAACTAGGTTTTGTGAAGGTTCTTTCCCCTTCAAATACCTAGGGGTCCCTCTTAGCCCTCATCGCCCGCTCTCTAGCCGGTTTGCTCCTTTGCTACATAGTCTCGATTCATCGATCCGGAGCTAGATGGGAAAACATCTATCCTATGCGAGCCGCCTAGAGCTCCTCGGATCCATCCTCTTCGAGCATGATACAATTCGGCTCGCTATTTTTCCTATGCCTCGCTGTGGTCATTGCACGTATCACCGGTATGTGTTGGAATTTTTATGGACGGGAGATGTCAATAGGTGCTCTTCGGCTTTGGTGGCTTGGCGAGCCTTTGTTCCCCTAAATGCGAGGGGGGCCTTGGGGTATTTGATATCAAAGTGAAAAACCAAAGCTTTTTGGTCAAAAGGCTGCGGGACATACACCTCGAGGTTGACTCTATTTGGATCCATTGGATCCACCGCTTCTACTTGGAAGGCTACCAAGTATGGGATGCTTACGCCCATTGCAAAGCTTCACCATTGTGGAAAGCCATTCTTCATGTGAAAGACTTGCTTGTCATGAAATATGCAAGTAAAGATGCGGCTATATGCGAGCTTGCTAGGTGGAACTCGGGAGAAGGAAATTTCTCTAATACGCTCTATACAAGGCTTTGGCCGGTTGGGGTGCTCGTGTGCTCGGGGTAAGGTGATTTGGGAGTCATGGTCCCCGCCTTGGCACTCCTTTATTTTACGGCTAGTTGTTAGGGGCGCCTTAAAAACTAAGGACCGTCTCGGTTCTACGCCCACCACGGACGTATGCCTCCTTTGTGATCAAGCCTCGAGTCCATTCACCACTTGTTCTTCTCACCTGCTTGGACCGACCGACACTGTGGTTGGAAATCAAGCAATGGCTCCGAATCCGCGGGGTATGCATACACTCACTAGTTCGATCGGAGGCCTATCTTGTTGTCGTAACAACCTTGAAGCGAAAATGAGGAGAGTGGCCCTTGGTATCATAGTTTATGTCATCCAGGAAGAGCGAAATAGGTGTGCCTTTGATGCCTTAGCCGAGCACGACAACCAATGTGTTTTGTAAATTCCGGATAATCTTCACACGATTTTCTACTTTCATGAATCAAACCCCCGACTCTTATCCGTGGGTGTGCCTTGATCTCCTATTTGAGGGCTCCGAGTACTATCTCGGATAGATTGCTTCGTTTGGTCCTTTGGGTTCGGTCTTCTTGGGTTGCTTGACTCCTCTTGTTTGTTTTGAGTTGGTGGTTATGGCGCTATGTTACGATCGAGGGTAGCTCCTCTTTTGGGCACTGTCTACTCCCTGCTTGGTTCTTTACGACTGCGCCATCGGCCTCTGCTCGCTAATGATTAGAGTTGGTTGAGCTTGCCTCTGTCGGTGGCTTACCACCTTTTTCGGGTTTGATTGTAGGTCCGCTTGATTGTTTGTGTGGCCTCCGGCTTTTGGTTTGGTTGGCTTCGGTTTGGTTGGATATGGGTTGTTTTGTGTGGGCTCTGGCTTTTGGTTTGGTTGGCTTACGGATTGTTTTGGGTGGCTTACGCTCCTTGGCCTCTCGCTCGTTGTTGGTCTTCTTGTTTTACTGTTATGGGTGTCCCAATCTTGGGCGGCTTAATTTGTACGTTGGGTTGGCCTACTCATGAATTAGGCCTTGCCCCATTCTTCTGCCTAGCCTATCTCCCCGCCTGACTCGATGCTCCTGCTCCGCTAGGCGTTGTTCCTCCCGCTTCTGCTGGCCCCTCACTTCTGCCGAGCTAGTAGATTCCACGATATGGATTCGGTGTTTCTCCTCCGGTTGTCTCTACCTTTGCTAGCTCGATTAGTCCGCCTTCTCTTGTTCCCCTAACTATTGGTCCACATCGGATTAGGCTTCACCGGTCCAGCTCCTCTATTGTGTCCAAGCCTCTTTTTTGTCTTGTGCCGGGCGGCTTCTTCGGATGCTCCTTTGTGTTTGATCCCGGGCCTCTGCTTGGTGATGATTGGAGTTGGTTGAGCTTGCCTCTGCCGGTGGCTTACCCTTTTTTCGGAGTTTAATTATAGGTCTACTTGATTGTTTGTGTGGCCTTCGGCTTTTGGTTTGGTTGGCTTCGGTTTGTTTTGGGCGCCTTTTGCTCCTTGGCCTCTCTATCTTGTTGGTCTTACCGTTTTGCGCTATGGGTGTCCCGACCTTGGGCTGGCTTGATATGTCTGTTGGTTTGGTGTACTCACTTCTGCCGAGCTTGTAGATTCCACGGTATGGATTCGGTTGTTTTGCCTCTAGTTGTCTCTACCTTGGCTAGCTTCGCCTTCTCTTGTTTCCCATGACTGCCGGTCCACATCGGATTAGGCTTCACCGGTTCGGCTCCTCTGCGTGTCCGAGCCTCTTTTTGTCTTGCGCCGGAGCGGCTACTTCGGATTCTCCTTTGTGTTTTTCTGCCCCCTCGGTGTGGTTTTACGCTTGGCTTGCCCGTCCGCACTCACTCGTTGCCTCTGCTCTTGCTTGTTCGTTGTCCATCTCTTGTCATGCGGTTCTCTCTTTTGTCTAGCTTTGTGGATAGCCAAGCCCTGCGGCCTTTACTTGTCTGTGCGGGCAAGCCAAGTGATTCTTTGCTAGCCACTGCTAGCCTCTCGTTTCTGCTATGTCGTTAAGGCGCAATCGGGGTTTGCTTACTCCTGTTGCTTGTCATGTCTGCCTTGCACCTATTTGGGCGAGCCTACTCGATTATAAGGCCTCCTTGTTTTGTTGTTAAGGGCTTAAGTCCTCCTTGTCTCTGTCAAGCCAAGCTATTGATGAAGCTCCAGCTACATCCTGGACACTGTTGCACTTACTAGGGTAGGCTCTGTTGCCCTTCTTGTTTTGACAATGGCTAGCTCAAAGGCTCCTATCTTGGTCGTATGATGTTTTCTGCTGTATTCAAAATTACTTTTGTACATGGTTAGGCTTTGCTCTTTTTTGCCCTCTCGGCAAGGTTTTTTGTCTGTTGTTGAGCTTTTTGTAAAGGGTACTAGCTAGTTTCTCGCTTGGTTCCTGTTTGGTTTTGTAAAGCGGGCGCGTGTGTGTTTTTTTTAAGGGATTATTGGCTTCCACTATAAAGAAATATGTGGAATTTACGCTACGGTAGGGGTAGACACTACTAGGTCCCGAGTGTCACCCCCCTCTAAAAAATTCAATATTTTTTATTTTGAGCTGATATTTTGTACACATGGCGGGAAAAATCCAATCTATTTTCTGGAAAGTTTTCAGAATTTTCCAACTTAGGAAATTACACTTTTCTATTTTTTGATCTTTAAGATTGCGGAAAATCGAAAAAAATAGAAAATAAGTCGGAACGATGCCAAAATTTTGGCGAGCCCAATAATAGTGTTTTTGATTTATTGGGACGGTTTTTGTGTGAATGGTCCGAGTTTTTCATTCGGAATGCGCAATTTTGTGTAACTCGGGCCGCTGCGGCCAGTCCCGGCTCCATGGCAGCAGCTGCGCATCACCTCCTTTAGCGCGCCGACCCATTCAACGTGCGTATGGCCGCGCGCCCGGCGTCGCGGGGTGCCGCCAGCGCGCTAAGGGGCCTACGAGCGACCTCGCACCCGGCTTGCGCGGGAGGCCTGCGAGCGAGGTCGCCCGGCATGCGCGGGGGCCTGCGAGCGAGCGCGCCCGGCCGGCGGCTGCGTGCTGCCGAGTGCGCACTCGGCATCTCCCGCTGCCTCGGCTCCGCGCCGGCCTACCCTCCCTTGGCTCCGGTGCCTAAACTCGTTTCGCGAATGGGGCATGCGCTGGCACGCACGTCGGGTATTTGAAAGGGACCGGGGGCCTTTCCTATAGAGCGATATG